TTTTTGTGATTGTCTTGTAACGGTGTCCATTAGAGCAGGTACCACTGTACTTTACATAATTTTAAAAACTGTTTTTTGAGAATTTTGTAGAGTTGGTGGTTGGCGGGTGCTCTGGTGTGGTTTGCTCCTTCTTTCTTTCATATCAAACATCTATCGTCCTTATCTCCCCTCCTTCTTTTTTATGTTTGTTACTCTCTTGTAACACCTCTTATCTTCTGGCACTCATATGACCTTATGAAGTTGCGAGTGCCGTAAAACTCTTACTAAAACTTAAACTTAAATTTCGTAGAACTTTGTAGAACATATCGTAGCTGTTGTTAGCTATCAAAATTTTGAGCAGTTTTCGACTTTCCCGCCCTCTCAAAGCTCTATCAAAGATGCACCTTTCAACATCACCAAAATGTAGTTCAATGCTATGCTCAAGGTTCACAATTTTCTTGCTTTTCATGATTCCATGTAGGAACACGACGACAGAAATTAGCTGTTTTGTCTCTGATGTAAAAAGAGCCCAAACGGACACACGTTGATTGCTTGCAATACCGACGACATACAATGTTTTTTTAAATTGCTTCTTCGAGATTACAAGCACCGTATTTACTCACAGAAAAGAGAATATCGATGACATCGTTGCGAATTTCGTAGAACATGGGCGTGTCGAAGACGAAGCTGAAGGAGACCTTTTCTGGGTAGTATTCGTTGGGGCGTTGTCTGTGGACGATTAGGGGAGTGGTGATGTTTGTGTGTGTGTGTGTGTGTGTGTGTGTGTGTGTGTGTGTGTGTGTGTGTGTGTGTGTGTGTGTGTGTAATCATATATACACGTATTTAAACCATTTTGCTTCTGACTGCACAGAGAAAAAATAATATTGAATGCAGGTGTTTCAATGCCCTCAACGACACAATGTTTATCATTTATTAGGATGGAGGCTTCAGACCCAATCTGTCAGGGCCAACCCAGGCAGTAAGAGAAACAAACTCTCAAAATAAAGACTAAGTTGCTATTTTTGCACTCTTGAATCGAACGAACTCTGGTCTCCTGCAAGTGCATCAACAAAACTTCTAACCGCTAAACCACAGGCGCCGGTGACCAGGCACAGCATGACGTCAGCAATAAAGTCAGTGCGAGCGTCTGTTCTCACTTTGTCACGTGACGCATACATTAATCCAACAGCTGGCTAAATACTCGTTACGATTCTTCTTCTTCTTCTTCTTCTTCTTCTTCTTCTTCTTCTTCTTCTTCTTCTTCTCATTTTGTTGTTGTTTTTGCCATATACATTAACCCTCTACTGTCCAATACAAAATGTATAGGCGTAACAAGTGTTACTCAACACTGATTTAATAAAGAAATTATAAATGAAACGTTTTGATGTTAATTTATTTCTTCCTAATATTTTGAATCCCAGCCCAAAACAATAACATTTAAAAAATAATAAATAACAACGATTTAATCCAAATTTTGGAGCTCAAATATGAGCTAATTGACACTGGCAGAATGTGAAACGTGTTAGTTTTAGTTTTAGTATGGGGTTTTACGGCGCTCGCAACTGTATAAGGTCATATGAGCGAGCGAAATGTGTTAATAAGACAAATATGAATACTTCTTGAATTTGCATGACAATCTTTGATCCGTTGAGATATTTATTTAATTCTGTTCGCTGCCCCTGAGCCCCACACCTTTCTTGACTCGGGAAAGCGAAGTATGGTAACTGTTGATTAAGCAATCGAATCACGTTTCGTTATAGCTACCAAAAGTTAAAAAAAACGTGAGACGTGAGAAAATCAAAATGAAGGTCACCATTAAGGAGATTGGGCGTAGTGAAAATGTAGACCAAGAAGGAACACTATATTCTGAAAGTCCTTGAAAGGAAAAATGTAGACCAGCCTACGAGATCCAAGATGACAAAGGGGTACGTGATTCGTGAGGGGAAAGACAAACATCAAGCAGTTTCCAGAGGGAGGAGATTTGAGATGACAAGGAAGAGACAAACGGAAACAGTCAGGTTTTTTAAATATATTTTTTTTCTTTCTGGTGTTTTTTTGTTATGTCTTGTTGGGAGGGGGTGGGGGTTGGGGTGGGGGGTAGCTAAACGTGTCCAGGTTATGTGTACGTAGTTAGGAGTTCTGAGAACTAATTGTTATCGGGATGAGGAGGAAGCAATTACTACACAGAGCCAAGATTATATAGTTGTCCATCATCGTCGTCGTCATCGTCATAATCATCTTCATCATCATCATCATCATCATCATCATCATCATCATCATCATCATCATCATCACCATCATCATCATCATCACCATCATCATCATCATCGCCTAAATTTCTCACCTGCAAAGCGTTGAAAGCCGTGAACACTGCCTGGAAGGCGAATGTGAGGACTATGGTATTCCTGATCTCTGTTCCTTCAAGACTGCTGCCGCCATCTTTGCACTTATTGATGACGTCCAGGAACTTGAGAGCACCCATACTGATGTCGTCATACAGACAATGGCTGTCTCTGCTTACTAAGTCCTTGCAGACGAACTCTCCTCACCATTATCGTCTGCAACAGAAGACAAAGTGGATTGTTACATCCGAAGCCCTTGTAAGCACGTGGTTCAAAAGTATCACATTTTACGACAGAACGAAAAGAAGCAATTAATGAAGATTACGAATACAAACCACAAAAATCAAATAAAGATAACGAATACAAATCACAAAAATCAAATAAAGATTACGATTACAAACCACAAAAATCAAATAAAGATTACGATTACAAACCACAAAAATCAAATAAAGATAACGAATACAAATCACAAAAAGCAAATTAAGATTACGAATACAAACCACAAAGAGCAAATGAAGATTACGAATACAAACCACAAAAAGCAAATAAATATTACGAATACAAACCACAAAAAGCAAATAAAGATAACGAATACAAACCACAAAATGCGTTAGTATATTATGCGTGTGTTGACGTTGGTGTATAATACTCGTCTATTATCTATTTGTGGTGGCCGAATTTTGCTATTCAAAAGGCTTTTTAATGGCTGCATCGATCGACATGCGGTTTTCGCCAAAAAATTCTTTAAAATATTCTCCAGAGCATGGTGCCCTTGGTTTTTTCAGTTTTGAGACAGTTTTGCTGCAAAAAGCATATATTATAAATGCGAATAGTTTTATTAGTTCCAATATAGCGTGAATGACGATTTCATTATTATGTGAAGAATCCGTTATGGAATGTATAAAAATTTCGGCAGAAAAGAGAACTTTTAGATAACATGTGAGGCAGCATGGTGAAATCAGGAGCTTGTCAAAATAATAATATTGAAGAAACTAGCATTTTCCCGCCAGTGTGGCTATTATTATCGAATTTTATTTGTTTTTTTAATTTTTTTTTTTCTTTTGCTCCACTCTTAAAGGCATGCAACAATATAAGTTTTCAGTTACCACGGGCTCTCAAGCTATGGAAATAACCAAACCTTGATGGCCATTTTCTCTGAAACAAGGCGACCTCCATCTCCTTCAGTTGTGAATATCTCGACTTTTATTTAAAATAAATGGGTATTTTTTTTCTCACTGAAGGCAGGACAAACGAATAAGCTATAAGATGATACCAATAACTCCAAATGTCTAAAAATTGACGAGCACCTGATTTCACGGCGTCGTGACACGTGTCATCTTTCTATTCAATTCAATAAGCTGGTCTCCGAAGCACTCAGCACCTTATGTCAAACCAAATGACAGAAATAAAAGTAAACATTATAGTCGAGAAAAAGACATTTCTTATCGTAACAATTCAATTATGTTTAAGGGGTCACCCGTCCCCCTTTTTTCACGACCTTTTCCCTAAAGAACATAGCGTCTTTCTGTATACAAGATAGCAAAGGAGGGACGCCCTATTCCTGTCCTATTCCTGTATAGCGGAGATATCATTATGATCAGCCGTCAGGGTTTGACAAATGCCGGAAAAGGCAAGCTTGTTTATTGTGAAGATAACGTTCTACGTTCGTTTAATACGCAATACACGACCCTTCCACCAATGTCGATGCCCCATCGCTCCCCCCCCCCTCAAATACAAGCGCTAACACACGTTTAAGTTTCTTTGATTTCACAAAATTTTGCCATTGCTTGTTCTTAAAGGTCACTTCTAAGTAGCCATATCTCGGGCGACTCTTATCGTGGATGTAACAGTAATATTATGTCAGGTAATGCAGAATTAAAATGGGAATGTTGTATGAGTGGGTACTGCAGGGGTTCAACACGATAAATTATAATTGGGTGAACACATTTTCAAGTTACCTTTGGCCACCACGGTATACAAGATAAGAAAGACGGCCACCCACTCTAGGCTCAGCAGTGTCGGGAACAGCTGTCAGGATATGACAACACGCCGGAAAACGACAAGCCAAACTGCCAACAAGCGGCAAATAAATTATTTTACGAGAGAGATTAGGGCATTCTAAATATAAGATTTTATCAGCATGGTTGGCGCAAGGAACTCAAATAATAGAATAGATGTTTGTAGTGAAGAATTCTATTTACTCTAAATCGTGAGGTTGCGAGTTCGGGGGTTTGAGCCACGGGCCCGACGTCGTGTCCTTTGGAAAGGCAATTTATACGAATTTTCCTTACTTCACCAAGGTGTGAATGGGTACCCGGGTATAGACAGCGAAAGATCTTGTCAGTATGTTAGTGTTTTAGCGCTTATAAAAGGCTGTTTGCACTGTATGCTTCCCAGGAAGTTGAGTTTGTTTCAGAATGCTCTCAGGTCTGCTTGGGTAATAGTATAGATTGTGAAGCACTTAGAGATTGCTGATGAGCAGATTTTTGAGCAATACAAATTATGCTATCTATTATTAGTAGTAGTAGTGAAGAATTCTATTTACAGCGAGCGTTTGTGACAACGGGAAAGACTTTTGAAGTTTCGCGTCAGTTGTAAGCTTATGTTTTTTTTAAGACGACGGAAGGAATGTATGTACTTTAACCCCCCCCCCCCCCCCCACCCCTACTCCTTCCTTTCACCCATATCTTCTTAGTTCCCTTGTTTGTCCCCACTTTTGAAGAAAAATTGTTTTAAAAAAATCTTTAGTACCGAAAGTAGTTGTTCTGGAATGTAAACATGCCAGTTTTAAGTAATCATACCGACATATTTCCACACAGGCTGGTGTTCCAAAATCAGGACCGAGCAACTGCATATGAAAATGGATTCAGTGTTTGAGTGTGAGGTTATACCTACAGTATACAATGAGTTTCTGTTCCCCGCTAACAGAGTAAGAAGAAACAAAGTATTATTCGATACACCTATCTATAGGAGAAGTTTGGTTTCAGTGGTGTGTATAATATTTGTTTGGTTATAGCCCAAAACTCTCCTTGTCTTTTAAAGAAACTGAATAAGGGTTCAAAAACTTTACCTTCGATTTTCTCAAAACAGCATTTTGAGGGGGATAGCCCCCTTGTGGTTAAAAGCGACCATATAAAGCCTGTCTTTCCACCTGACCCCTTCAATGGGTTGTGGTTAACCTGCAGTTGTATGCACTGATACCGAGGCAGATGGTTTGTGCATTGTGTGTGACGATAGGAAATATTGTCTTACTTGAGGGGTTGATGGAGAGGGTTAGGTCAAGGTATCAGATAGCGAGATGAAACCAATGGATAAAGGTGGTGAACAATGGCTAAAGTTGAATAACACTCAGTTGTTGTTGTTGATGGTGGTAGTGGTGGTGGTGGTGGTGATAATGGTAGTGTTATTGTTGTCATTGATGTTGTCGTTGTTGCTGTTGTTGTTGTTGTTGTTGTGTTTTTGTTATTGCTGTTGTTGCTGTTGTTGCTATTGTCGTTGTTGTTAATGTTGTTACTGCACTATAGCATAGTTGAAGTTGTTCCTGTTGTTGTTGTTGCTGTTGTTGTTGTTGTTGTTGTTGTTGTTATGTTACTTCTTTTTTGTTGTTAATTTGTTTCTGCTGTTGTTGCTGCTGTTGCTGTGGTTGCATGCTGCTCTTGCTTTAGATGCTGCTTAATAACCGTTGATCTGTTGCTCACCGTGCCGTTAAAAAACAAGAAATAGAGGATAATGATAAGGTGGTTGGGGTTGGGGGGGGGGTGGAGGGAGGGGGTTCACTCTCTGCGACAACTCCCCGGTAAATCTTAGTCGTGGGACGAGAGTAGAAAATAATAATTGGTCTCTTTAAGCACAAGGGGGCTGTCCCGAAAAATGCTGTTTTGAGAAAATCAAAGGTATAGTTTTTGCCACTTGTTCAGTTTCTTTAAAAGACAAGGAGAGGTTTCTCTATAACCAATCAGATATACACACAAAAGAAACCCAACTTCCTTAATAGGAATGGAAATGCCCACTTTTGGTGTAGGTCAAGATTTCTGGAAACCCCGAAATCTAGCTTACCCCGCTTGTCATTAAAAGCGACCAATTATGTCTAGTGTATTTATCGATATGAAACGAGTTACTGTTTGTCGAGGTGATGAGACGACTTCATAATATTATCAGTAGAGACTTTTTCATTTGTGTGTGTGTGTGTGTGTAAGTTTTTACACCTCAAGCGACACAAATAATTTTATACAAACTAGGAGGCGGGCTGCCTCGACCCTGACTGTCAGGGTCAACCTGTGCTGAGAGGGACACAGTACCCGGGCCTAGAGATAGAGGTAACAAAGATAAAAGAAGGGAGGGAATACTCGTATATTATATTCTTCGTAATGCTTTTTTTAAGTATTGTTTTTGAGCAGATATGATAAGTCCGTTGATAAGTTCTTGATCATCAAGTGCTCTTGATCAATGTACAATAGACAGCTTGCTATAAAGAGAGAGGTTGAATACTATATATATATATATATATATATATATATATATATATATATATATATATATATATATATATATATATATATATAATGTAATATATATTATATAATTCCAGTTACTGCATTTGTCAGCGTGGGACATTTCGTGGACCTGTTCACCACTGGGGCTTACACTTGGACTATGGAATTAGAATAAAACAAAACTTCATTTTTTTGTCGTTGAGTTTTGTTTTATTTCGTTTAATAATTTTTATGCTAGAGTAAATGCAGTGACTGTAAGAAGAAGAAGAAGAAGAAGAAGAAAGAGAAGAAAAAGATGTCGGAGAAGGAGGAGTGGGATGAGGAGGATGAGGAGGAGGAGGAGGAGGAGGGGAGGAGGAGGAGAAAACTTTAAAAAGCACAAAAAACTCACGTATTTCTTAAGCTCAAGTCAAAGAACCAAATGTATTATTCCACTTCTGACACCTGTACAAAATGACCTTGTTCTGCCCAGGTTTTCAGAAACGGGGGCAAACGATGTGGGCGAACGTCTCAAAGTGGCCGCATGAACGACCAGAGGAGATTAGTAAATGCCGCCTCTTATCGCCAACTGCTGATTACACGTCGTGTGTAATGTATCCATTGACGGAGCCGCCGGGGCATAAACACACACACACACACACACACACACACACACACACACACACACACACACACACACACACACGCACGCACGCACGCACGCACACACCCACATGCACACACACACAGGCAGACAGAGAGAGAGAGAGAGTGAAAAAGAGAGAAAGAGAGAGAGAGAGACACACACACACGCAGAGAGAGAGAGAAAGAGAGAGAGAGAGAGAGAGAGAGATAGAGAGAGAGAAAGAGAGAGAGAGAGAGAGAGAGAGAGAGAGAGAGAATAGTATCGCTACCATAATTAAATTTTAAAAGCACAGTAGCCTATAATGATAATATTATGCAGATTTTATAAAATTGTACAGAAGAGCAAAAAAAGACCCCAAAAAACTCAAACCCCTAAATGCTGTAACCAACAAAACAAACTCTTTGAAAATATCACATGTAAATATTTTGAAGAATACAACGTCAATTTTTGATAACCACTTTTTTTCAAGCAACGAATGTCGGTGACACGGAATGAGATGAACGGTCTAGGTAGGGTGCTGCGCTTGGCCTTGAGCAAACCGCGATAACTAGAGCTCAATAACAGAGAGCTAAGCTTTAAGACAAAGAGACCGCAAACTGGCAAAGTCCGCGCAAGCTAAATTTATGTTCGGGAGAGGTTTGCGAAGGGGGAGGTTGGGGAGGGGGGGGCGCAAAGTATTAATCGGCATCATCATCCAGTGGCGTCTGTCACTTTTGCTATTCCCAGCCATGTTGTCAACTTGTCCAGTATCTCTTCCTTCTGTCTGCCTCTGCCTCTCTTTCCATCAAACTTTGCCTGTTCTTACAATATTCTCCAATGCTTCTGCACTTCCTTGAATATCTTTATTACGGCTCCGAATCATCTTACGATTTTGATTGAGCTGACACAACACTTCGGTTTTATTTTATCCCTTGGTCTAAGTAACTCAAAACGGCGAAAAATGTCAGATAGAACTTTGTAATTCTGAAGCAACAACTTAAAGACACGCTGGTTTTTTGCTGGGTTAAAAAAAAAAAGTATCCAACTATCTTAAAAAAAAGAAGTTGAGACATTTTTTGATAGAAGGATATGGGGTTCACTTGGTGTCGGATGTGAAATTGGGGAGAAAAGGACTGCCAGATTCTTGTGACTTCCGCAGCTGTAGAGTCCTTGGAAACTACAAATTTAGTTGTTTTTTTAAAAATGCCTTTGATCAACGTTTTTCAGAAATTTCCTGGCAGGAAAGCATTCTAAAATGAACAAAACAATGTGTTTAGCACAATACATACATTTGTACAAGCACCCCCCCCCCCCACCCGAAAAAAAGAGAAAAAAAGGTAAAAATCCCAAATAAGTGACATTAATTACTTTATGGACGGAAAAAATGTCTGTTTCTTCGATTTCATTATTTTGAAGAGCGCCTGATTCTTTTGTGTCAGAGTTTGAGTGAGGAGATGCGCATGGACATGAAAGGTCATTTTTAGTGCGCGGAAACTGGGAGTCAGACAGACAGACAGACAGACAGACAAAAAGGCGAAAAGTAAAGTAATTCGACCTACCAGCGTCGACCTCCAACTGCCTACCCACACGTGCGTTACACAAAGATGGATATAATAATCCGTCCAACGCCGAAGCAAGCGCGTGGCTATAAAATGGACTCACCAATCCTGTCAGGCGAGAGTTACGGAAATCTTGGAACAAAATATGTACCTGAAAATGGCTCACACAAACACTAAAGGTTCGTGACCAGGAAATTGACTCAGAAATCGTGTCCAGTTGGAGTTCGGGAAAACTTGAGACTACATGAACCAAGGAACGGCTAACACAAATGCAGCGTCACTCTTGCGTCACAGATCGTGGGTAGGAAGGGAGATTGGCGCGTACTCTCATGTTCTATGTCCCATGTCCAATAGCCCGAGACCCGAGACCCGAGACCCAAAGTTCTCGCTATGTAAAGAGGGAAAGGAGGTCTGTGTGAGGGAGAGGGCGAGGGCTTAGGGGTCGGGAAAGGAGGGGGTAGGCATACAAATTATGTAAATTATTGTATTGTGTTGTGTTTTACATCATCACGGGTGGGGGGAGG